TTGTTGATCCAACCAATTCAATTATGAAAACCACATATTAACAATTTCTGCGGAACTGCTTGTTATTCTTTAAATTCAAATTGTTTTAAATCTTGTAAAATCACTAAATGTAAATTTCTGCTATTTAAAAATATTGAACATAACAAAAATAGAAAGATAAGCGTAACATTAAATTACAAAAAACACCAGGTACTTGTTAGAAATTTTGGTGATGGGTATTCTTTATTTTGTAATTAAAAATATGTACAGACAGCTCTGATTAAGTAGCAGGTTCTGAAATAATTACATTATTATATATTATTAATGCATCATGAAACACCAGCTGACAAAATATTGATATATGTACCTTACTAGTAAAGATTTTATTCTAAAATAAACTACATAAACAGCTGCGTTATTTTAAACAGTACCAATAGCATCTGCTTTACATTTCTACAACATTTCTGCTACTTGTTACAACATAGCAATGAAAAAACAGTCAGTCAATCATCACTATATGAGACATGAAAAACATTTTCATCTCCATTGAATAATTGACATGACTTGAAAATGAATTGAAGAAATTCTAAAAAAAATTCTCGATAGAAGCAACAAATATTCCAATTAGATGATGCACATCAAAAGTAAGAAAAATATTAAATCAAGATTAAAAGTATCACAATAACAAAAAGATGATCAAATGATTTGTTTAAGCACTAACTTTGAAGATGAAGTTGTAATCTGTTGCCATTGAATGTGTTAAAATTAATTATAAGATAATGACATTGCCCAATAACAATGAACATTGAAGAAAAGCTGATGAGATGTGCATGCATACAAATAAAGCTAAGTTAAGAGCATCATACATAATGTTTGGCCTTGCTAAATAGTGGAATAGATAAGATAAGATGACTTTATCATGTTATAAGGAGGAAATGATTTGAAGTATGCCTTTTTTATTTAATGGACAAATTACTTGTCAAAATGTTTGCGAGTTTGTGTGCGTGCGTGTGCGTGCGTGTGTGGTGGTCATCCATTCAAAGATTATTTTACACACAGAAAGACTCATGAATATAAATGAAAGGATTTGTTTGAATGATAATTACTTCAAGTATGAAGTAAGTGTAAAGAGCAAATGGATATTAACTAGAGATGTAATTAGTAAACAGACAAGGTAAACTGAAGAATAGATTAATTTTTAAACAAATATTAAAAAATGATAACCAATAGAAAATTATATATAGCTTACAATAAATAACACACAACAAACATTTCAGAAGCAAACATTGTTAAAATACCACCCCCCCATTCCCCTCGAAAGAAAAAATCATGCCTTTTTACTTCAAAAATAAATCAACTAATTCATTTTTTTTAAATGGGACGAAACTCAAATTACAATTTTTATTAGAATTCAATAAAAAAAACAATAGATATCTATGAATTTATTGATATCATAACCCGACTACTAACGAAAATATATCCACACACACACACACACACACACACACACACATCTTTGTGCTATCAATTATGGTGAAAAAGAAAACTAGTGAAATAAACTTGATTGGCAAAAATATAAAGAGAGATATTGAGGAAAAGTAAGAGAAAATATAAAAACATGTTTATTGAGAATATTTGTTTTTTGTGTACAGAAGAATGCACATCTGTGAGCAGTAATGCAAATGCATAGTTTGCATGCAAGTATATAAGTTCATAGACTATTTAAACATATCAATACATATTTGAAGACATTGCATATATTATAGATCTATACATACAATATAAATGGTTTTAATACATAGATACATACACACATACCTATGTACAAACACAGATACCTACATACATGCATGCATACATACATATATATGTGTACAAATACACATAAACACATAGTCAAATACAAACAGTAGCATTAAAAATTATAATAAAATAAATTGAGAGCTTTGGATCATCTACATTTATCAATATAGTCTCTTTAGTTAACTATAGAAAATTCTGCCAATTGAGTAACAGAATTTTTTATGATTTTTCATAGTGATAATAATAAAAAGAAGAAAAACAATTATTCTTATTATTATTATTATAACTACTACTACTACCATGTGTTGCTGTTGTCAGAGCAAATGTATAATAGTTATATTCAAAAGCAGCTAAATCAATTCTTCATTCATTCATAGCTTCAATCATTTAGGCACACTAACACACACGCTCATATACACACACAAACTCACTCACACTCACCACTACTACCACACATTATGAATGATGTGATTGTATTATTATTGTTCTGTTTATTCTATGCTTATTAGTTTAAACAAAAATTACAGTAAATGTTTATCTTAGAATCCATAATGTTATATTCCATAAAAACATTAACATAAAGTTCTTACAAAATATTTTTCAAATATAAACTGAATACCAAAAATTTAATTAATTAATAATTAATAAGGATATTACTGAGAAGAATAATAAACTGAATAAAAATATGTACAAAAGATTTTTTACGAAATCTACTTTTTTATTTCCAGCTTCTCCCACTGATGTGAGAAAAATATCATTTCTAGAGCCTTTAGAAACAATGGATACTTTGCTACAAGCACATTAAATTATTATAAAATCATCATTGATGTTATATTAACCAGGATTTTAATAAAACAACAAATAAATATAATGAATTAGTGAAAAATGAATTTTTTGTCTATTCTACTATGCCAAAACTGGAATGAAAAAAATATTAAGTTTAGATTGATTAAATATGGAATAAATGTTATAATTCACAGTCGATCAAGAAGATACAATAAAAAATAGTATTCAAAAACACAAAACACACTAATTTGAAAAAAATATAATAGCGAATTTGTAAATTTAAAAATAGTTTTATAAATATTTATGAGATAAAGAATATTTAGAATATATTAATATTCTATAAATAAAATAAAATATAATATAAATCAATACACTTATTGCATATCACCTATTTTTATACTGGCACCTTGTACCTATAACTTTTAACTAGATTTTTTTATAAATTCAATGAAGTTTATGTAAGTAGCAAACCTCCTGTCCAGTTGGAAGGTGCTTTGCTAGCTTCACTTTGGCAAAGTTACCTTTCCCTATTGTTTTAATTAGGTGATATTTGTTGACATTGGCGACATCTTCAGAATGAAGAAAAGATGGTTTTTGACTTTCTGATTTATGTACCTGGAAATTAAATTAGAATCAGCCTGTTTTGTTATCCAATTGATCATGTCATGAACAGTTAATACATAGTTCTATGCTCCTCTCCGCATTAATACTTTTCAATTTCAATGTTTAATTCAACGGTAATAAATAACAGATATTAGAATTAAAAAAATTTTGAAGTAAAATACAAACTAGAAATAAATAAGATTTAAGTTAAGATTTAAAATACAACATATAATACAATACAGTCATTTCATAAATTGTAAATTAATATAAAATCACATCATATCATACATTAATAATGTCATTTATTAATTACATACACATACTTTGCTCGGCTTCTTTTGTTCACTGCTGTTGTTGTTGTTGGCATTTTGATGATTATCTGATGCCGTCTGCTTGAAAGATGGTATTTTCGTGATATGGTTGGCTGCCATTATTTTGTTAATGTGAAGAGAAGACACTAGCCAAGAAAATAACAAACGGAACTTTTTAAAAATTTAAATCGAAAAAATAGTGTCTCTCCCCCCAGTAAAATTTCCCATTAATAATCTTCCAAGGACAAGCAACAAGCCAACAACCACTAATCCTTAATTCAATCGACCAGAAGATTCCAACTACGTACCAGTACCGGTAAATAAAAATTATCTATCGTAAAATAAAGACAGGTAAGTCAGTTGATAATCTCTATCTATCTCTATGGATTCTGGTACTGTGAACTGAGAAGAGCCAGGATATCACAAAATTTAAATTCTTTGACGAGTTTGAAGTCGTCTTTTTCCGAAAACTTTTAAATAAAAATAAATTAAAATTGTGATAATTTTCCTTGAAATGATGTTTCGAACTCAGCGCCTAACTCTTAAAAATTAAAAATAATTTTTCGCTACATGACTTCATAGGGGAAGACTTTTCAGAAATAGGAGCATAGACCTGAACAATATATTTTTAAATTGTTTTAATATATTGTCTATGTTATGGAGCGCTAATCGTACTTGCCAAAAAAGTATTTAATAATTGATTTAAAATTTGCATTAATGTATAGATAGAATAAATCAATTCATCAATAAAATATTACACTGCATAACTTGAAATTTTTCAAATTCGTTAACTTCTATATTTTAATTTAGGAATGTTCAAATGCCTCAATCGGTCTGCATATTTCAGATAAGAACACTCTTTTACCATTTGGTTGACCTTTTCTGAACTCTCTCGATGGCTTCAATTTTACGCTGAGCTATATGGCAGGTCGAATAAGTGATTCTATAGACATCTTTTGAGATTACTTCAACTTATGGTGCTGAAATTCTTCAGACCGGCAGGTAACGGATTCCAATTTGGACAGCTGAGAAAAAAAATCTTCTATGTGTTGGAAGGAGACCACATATACACAATATTGTATGAATTTTACTGAATAGTTGAATTTATTTATATGATATATATTATATATATTAGTAAAAGTGAATAAATTTTATTAAATTATCAACGTTGACGTCAGATGTTTATTTAAACAAATAAAATAAAGTAAACACACATGTTTACATATTATGGGCATAATAATATATATTAAGAAACACACTTATTTTAAATATATAAAGTAATAAACAACATGCTTCGCGATAACATTTTACTGTTTTACGTCGCGAGAAGTATATCGATATTTAGGCTTACGTCTGGAACGGCTGGAGTAAATTTTAAGATACCCACTCACGTAAAATAATGGGAAACATTAATCTAGACAAAGAAAATTTTGTAATTGATTAAGAAATAAGTAGATAACAACTGGAATTATCAAAGAAAATGTATTTTCTTGAAAAAGGTTTATCGTGCATTTGAACATGGGCTTAATAGTTTCAATGTTCATTTCGAGTAACGAAGCCAAATGGCACACGCTCTACAGAATCGTCTGCGTCCAACTCTTCGTTCTCAGTTGTTGTATTGCATTGAGAAAGACCGTCAGTCGTAAGAAGAAGCCGTCGCTGAAATATTTGCATGCCATCGTCGCTACTTTCGAAGTTTCCTTCATATCATACGTTGAGGTAATTCTATTTACAAAAATTATTATTATCAAGATAATTTATATTATATTATTTTTATAATTACTTCCATAAAATTTGTTTTAAGCGGCGTCATCATTGAAAAATGTTATTTGCCGATAAACAGTTAATGTATGAATTAATTGCAGACGATCATATACAAAATTTCCGGCCTGAATCCGTTCATGATGTCATTCTTCCTGACGGCTATCTTCTACCACATAGTGGACTCCTTCGATGATTGGTCCAATTGCGGTCCTCCGGTCCTTCTCAACAATACTCTCATTGATCCATTCATTAAAGTTTTTGCACCCGAAGCTCCACCCATTAATGCAATTAGGACCAATTATGAAGCTCCAACCACTGGTCCAATTAATGCAAATCAAGAAGCGAAACACAACGTTAAGGATTTAACAAAAGAATCTAATGGAGGTCAAAAAATTTTGGAAGATAAAATAACTTTGAAGAACAAACTCTGGGACGTTTTCAATCGATGTTTGCTGGTGGTCATCTTTCAGTACGTTCTAAGCAGCATCATGCACGCGATACTAGAGTTAGAGTTTGAAGAGGATGACGTCAAATGTCTGACGTGCTGCAACCACGACCATTCCATCACTGTCTTCCTCATCCTGCTCACGGCCGCTCTCGAATTTTCTGCAAGTTTTGCAGTTGAAGCGCTGTTGACGCAAAGTGAACGGTTGAGGTGTGTCTCGAAAGTCACACTGGACTCCATCTTCAAACTCATCATCACATCCATCCTCTTCCTCTTTGGTATACCTTCAACAGCTTTTGTTAAATTCATTGGGATAAAATTTTTGTAATGTACTTGAAAACAGGATTGCCATTTGTAAGAATTGAACTTTCACCTTACATTGGACTGTTGTACATAAGCCAGCAGAGTAGCAAGCCCACCTACCTCATGATGCATTGCGTTTCCTCCTTCCTTGGTGTCATGGCTGCCTTCCTCTGGTTTCAAAAACCCGATTACCCACAGGACTACACTAATTTAGATGGTCCTGATCACCAACAATACTCGAAAATGGACCAAAGGTTATTGGAAATTTTATTTTTTGAGAAAATATTCAAACTCTGATCATGGGTAATCTATTTAAAAAAATGCGCGTTTCAGTTTAAGTTTGAAATGGTAGAATTTGGGAAAATTATATAACTTTGAATGCAAACTTGCATTTGTTTTTAACTCTACTAATCGGCTTCTAACATTTTAGGTAAATGTTATTTTACAATTTATTTTCACTCATATTTCAACATGAATTTTGAGCTAATAACTAAAATATAAAGTTTAAACAACTTTGAAGGAAAAGGAATGTTCATCGAGGAAATGATCCAAATGAACAACAACAACACCAACAACAACAACGACTACAACATCCCCACCACCTCCACCAACAAGAAAAATGTGAACGCCGAAACATACTGGACCACTACAAACGGCAGAATGAACTTCTCCGTTGCAAGCAACAATCACACCACCACCAGCACCAACAACAGAAATTGAAACATAGAAGGGTCAACCAGAAGGTCATCGACAAATACCTGAGAGATATGAAGTGTGATTGGTTGTACAGTGAACCCTACGAACACAGGTCCGCCAACAACAACACAGCGCTGAGTTGCAACAACAACAACGACGATCCCAGCGAAACTAACAACTCTTCAGATTCTTCCGCCAGGTAGTGTTTGCATTTCACAATGGGACATAAAATTTTCTATTTTAATTATGAAAATTGCTTGGAAAAATATTTTCATTGAATATTTTTCTATATTTTTTATCTAAATGAATTTGAACAACATAAAAGGCAAATACGTCACTATCAACAGAGTAAACAATATCAACAACAACAACATCAGCAAAAATATTCGCAACCTCAGCAACAACAACAACATCATCAACAACAACAACATCAACAACAACTTCATCAACAAGATAAAAAACAAACACAATACGAACAACAACAGCAACGGGTGCACGTAAACCAAAAACCTCCACAACAACATTATGTCATGAACCAAAATATCAACAACATTA